AATTTAAATTTAAAAGAAATATGTAATATTGCATATCATATGTATGTAGTATAGTATTACAAAATTTAGATTTAAAAAAAATAACAAGATTTTACAATACAATACTATACTACATACATATAAAAAGCAATACTACATATTATATATGATATATTATATTTATTTTAAAATAAAATTTTTTGATACATACCATTCTATTATAATTATTTATTGCACTGCTATCTTATTCAAATCAAAAGATTCAATTTATGTATGTAGGTTAAACTGAACCTATGTCAATCAATGTGTCAAAACATCATTCATGGAGCGACATCAACGCTATCTTGCAATGAATGCTCGAAATGGACATTTTCAAATACATGCGCATTGAGAAGGTCGACGACGACGACCAAAATTTATAACAATTTTTAAGAAAAACAAAGTTTAGATTATAATATCTCCGTTAATAAAGCACATAGAGAAAAAATAAAGGCACTTTCTTTTATAATTCAAACCTAATCTATCGATTGAGCATAATAAGAACTCGATCGCTTCAGCCGTTATTGCATAATTGAAATATATGATGTTCTCAGATGTCAGACTCGCGTTATAATACACGGTGTGCCTCGCTGCGCAAAGCGCGTCGTTTTTTGACTTGGCGCAAGACACTACCGTGTCTCTTGATTTTCTACGAGTATATTACACATAAATTTGCTATTGTTAACTATTATCAGTCGCATCAGTGTGCGATTTATACGATACTTATAATAAAGAGGCGGTCTGTGTTTATCTCGCGGGCACCGACAAAGGACATCGCGCCGCAAGTCGATACGAGTTCGTGCGTGTTTACCATAACAGCAATATAAACATCGAAGCGACGTAGCGACTATACTCTTGTTACTCTTTGTTCTCGCGCGTTCTTTGTAACGAGTTATTAAGATGACGGAACGCGTGAAGATAATAAATCGAAAACGTATTACGTTAAAAACGCAGATAACCAACCTGGAAAAAATTCTTGCGGAAGCAAAACTTGAACCCGCAAATATAAAGACGCGTTTCTCCTGCATAAAGGAATTGTTTACCGCATACGAGGATTTACATGAGCTCGCGCTATTGAGTCAGATAATGATGCTCTTTCAGAATTCGACGACATACAAGATCGTTATTACGCGCTTGTCGCAAAATTTGAGTCGCTTTATCCGTCGACAAATACGCAACGCGCAAATGAATTAAATACTACATCAGTAATAATCGATCAAAGGACGCGTCAAATCAAATTTCCGCATGCCGACTTACCTAAAATTTGATGGCGATTTTGGCAAATGGTTATCTTTTAGAAATACATTCGTCGCGATGATTGATTCATGTACCGATATGAACGATTTACAGAAATTTGCTTATCTCAAGGGCTCTTTACAGGGTGACGCATCAAATAAAATTTCTATTTACGACGTAAGCGAAGAAAATTATAAAACAGCTTGGAAATTAATGCTCGATTTGTACGACAAACCACGCATTCTAATCGTTAACCATCTCGATTCGATTTTAGATTTGCCGGTACAAACGAAGGCCACACATAAGGGTCTCTCGAAACTCGTCAACGACATGCGTCAGTATGTAAACATGCTTGCAACATTAAATATAGAACTCGGCGAACATTTATTAGTTCGAATACTAGAACGGGCATTACCGAATCACATTCGCGCGAAATGGGAAGAAACGCTTGATTCAAATTTAACACCGACGCTCGATCAAATTTACAAATTTATTTCGGAAATTGCATATCGTTTGTATTTAGTTGAACAAGATAAATCGCACGTTAAATCGGAAGAAACCAAGAGACCATTCGGCGGGAAAAATTTTAAAGCATCAAAAATGCAAAAAACAAATCAAGGCGCGCGTACATTAATGACTAAAACGTCAACAAACAAAGCGAATTGTCCGCTGTGCAGAGAGAGATGCATTACATATACAAATGTCCCGAATTCATGAAAATGACGATACGACAACATCAAGATTTCGCGAAAAGAACATCGTTGTGCAGAAATTGTTTGCGTACACATCACGGCAAATGCTTATTTTCGCATTGCAGAAAATGTTCGAAATTTCATAATACTCTTTTACACGAGGAATTCGCCAAGTCGGAAACGACATCAACCAAATTTAAGAAAGACGGCGCGTCTGACGGCATCGCGGAGATAAAAACCGAACCGGCATGACAAGACGTAATCGCTCATAACTTTACGGCGCAAACTTTACAATCGGAATTAATATTGAGCGCACAAATACCAATTAAAGATTCAAGCGGTAATTTCGTAACATGCCGTGCATTATTAGACACGTGCTCCACGGCACATTTTATTACGACAGAACTCGCAACAAAATTGAAATTACCGATACGTTCATGCGTTCTTCCTAAAGGCGCGATCGACAACATGAATACGTTTGCTAGAGGCATTGTCAAGTGCACATTCTATTCACGGTTTAACAACTTTAACAAAACTCTCGAGTTTTTAGTGATTCCTAAAATTTCCGATAGGACTCCAAACAAAACGTTTTCTCGCGAATCAATTAACATACCGCAAAATATAAATTTGGCCGATCCACAATTTTATCTGCCACAAAAAATCGACATGCTTATCGGCTCGAGAGCAACAATGTCGTTATTATCAATCGGACAAATTGATTTATCACGCGACGGTCTTGATCTGTTTCTACAGAAAACACAGCTCGGATGGACAATCGCTGGCGGAACAGCCAAGGCCATAAACGGAAATCAAGGGTTTTGTCAATTAACTGAATTAAGAAGACAAATTGAAAAATTTTGGCTGCTCGATGACGCGAACGTTTGTCAAATCAAAACGATAGAAAATAACAAATGCAAAATGCACTTCGTGAAAAATGTTACACGCGATAGTTCAGGACGCTACACGGTTCGTCAACCATTTTGTATACAAAATCCCGATTTCGGAAATTCTCGATCAATAGCGTTGCGACGTTTCATCGGAATACGAAGGAGATTCGATTCTGATCCAGAACTCAAACGCGATTATTATCGAGTCATGAACGAATACATCAAATTAGGTTATATATCGCGAGTTGCCGACGAATCTCTCAGCAGTTATTATCTTCCGCATCATGCAGTCATAAAGGCCACAAGTGCGACTACAAAAACGCGGGTAGTGTTCGATGCCTCCGCAAAATCGAATAAAGGCATTTCCTTAAACGATGCTTTGATGGTCGGTCCGACCATTCAACTAAAATTATTCAAACATCTCGTGCGTTTTCGTACGTTCAAAAACGTGTTGACGGCCGATATAGCTAAGATGTATCGACAAGTCTGGATACATCCGGACGAACATAGATATCAACGAATTTTTTGGTTTCACGCGGATAAAATTCAAGTTTTTAAATTAAATACAGTAACATTCGGTGTATCATCGGCTATTTCTAGCTATTCGAACAATACAAAAACTCGCGAGCGATGAAAGCTCAAATTTTCCGATAGGAGCAAAAATCTTACACAATGATTTTTATGTAGATGATTTACTATCAGGCGCAAATACGATTGAAAAGCTTATTCACATTCGCGATGAAGTCATTGAAATATTGAAACGCGGTGGTTTTGATATACGCCAATGGGCATCAAATCATCCGCGAGCTTTAGAAAATCTACCGAAAAGACTTAACGATCTAGAATTTCTTACCAATGAAAATCCGATTCGAAAAACGTTAGGCATCTTCTGGAATGCACAGCGCGATAAATTGTGTTATACGGTTAAAACTATTGAGCGTCCCGAGAGGATTACTAAGCGATTCATTTTATTCGAAATCGCTAAGATTTTTTACCCTCTCGGCCTACTTGGCCCGGTCATGCTCATTTCTAAAATCCTTCTACAACAATGCTGGAAGGCAAAAACGGATTGGGACAAATCCGTTCCCCACGCATTACAAATCGCTTGGCAGTCCTTCTCGGAACAGCTCGCATTAATTGATAACTTAGAAATAAATCGAAATGTACTGATAAACGATGCGATCGATATTCAACTTCACGGATTTTCCGATGCCAGCAAGGCCGGTTACGGAGATTGCATATACGTACGTTCGAATAATAAAAATAACGAAATTCTCGTGCGGCTTTTGTGTTCTAAAGGTCGCGTCGCACCGCCCGCGGGACAGACCATGCCTCGTTTAGAATTATGCGGAGCGTTAGTACTCGCTCAACTTTATAACTAAATACATGCGGTACTCATGTTTAAGCCTAATAATATCATATTTTGGTCGGATTCCACGATAGCGTTATCATGGTTAAACAAGCATTCTAGCAAATTAAAACAGTTCGAAGCAAATCGAGTACGAGAAATTCAGAAAGTTAGCGAAGGAATCGAGTGGCGGCATGTTCGCACGGAACACAACCCAGCGGACGCGTTATCAAGGGGTCAACTACCTCAAGAATTTTTAAACAACGAAACGTGGTTTCAAGGTCCATCGTGGCTCTCGCGACTGGAAGCCGAATGGCCGCGCTCTATCGTAACACATACAGACGACTTGCCCGAAATAAAGAAGACAACATGTCTAACGGTACAAATTTATTCCGAAGAGATATTAGAAAAATTTTTATCGTATACTAAATTAATACGAGTAGTCGCGTACTGCTTACGATTCTTGCGTTCCAATGAAAACACCGGCATTTTATCAGTCAACGAGATAGAGGAAGCCAAACGACGCATCGTAAAGCTCATACAGCAGATTCATTTCAAGACTAAATAAATTTTTTGTTAACGTGCGGAGAAGTAAAATGCACAAAGCTTGGATCATTAAACCCGATAATTGACGAACACGGTTTATTGCGTGTCGGAGGACGAATTCATAAGGTCAACATATCGTCTGATCAGAAACACCCAATTCTTTTACCGTCTTGCAACTACGTCACGGATCTCTACATTCGGTACATTCATGAAAAATTTTATTATACAGGAATACAATTGACACTGTATAATGTTCGACAACGTTTCTGGATAATGGACGGTCGCAATCAAGTGCGTAGAGTCATTCGTCGTTGCATCAGATGTGCACGTTTTCGTTCCGAGAACCCGAAATATAAAATGGCAGATTTGCTAAAGGCAAGACTCGATAACGTAGCTCCGTTTTATCACACGGGCGTCGATTATTTTGGCCCAATTTTCGTCAAGGAGAAAAAGCATCGTAATCGCAGTAGCATCAAGGTCTACGGTTGTATATTCATATGCATGTCAACCAAGGCTATTCATATCGAAATCGTAACCAATTTATCAACAGATGCTTTTATAGCATCTCTGAAAAGATTCGTCAGTCGTCGAGGTGTTCCGGCGCATATTTACTCAGATAATGGAACCAATTTCATAGGCGCGAAAAATCATGTCCGCGAACTTTACGCCCTAATAAGATCCGAGGAATTTTGTACTCAATTGCATGAGTTTACCTTAGAAAACAAAATCGAATGGCATTTTAATCCACCGAATTCGCCACATTTCGGCGGCCTCTGGGAGGCCGCTGTGAAGTCGAGCAAGCACCATTTAAAACGAGTAATGCGCGATCTCTTGTTTACATACGTAGAATTGAACACCCTAGCGGTAGAAATCGAAGCAATTTTGAATTCGAGACCTTTATGTCCTCTTTCTATTGATCCAAACGATCCAATCGCATTAACGCCTGCACATTTGCTTATTGGCAGACCTTTCACAATGCTGCCAAAAACTGATTTCTCTTGTGTTGCAGATAATCGCTTATCATTATGGCAATTGATTACAAAGATTCGACAAGAATTTTGGCGACGATGGCAATTAGAATATTTAACGGAATTACAGAAACGACAAAAATGGATTAAAAAGGATGTTAATCTGAAACTGAACTCTATTGTCTTACTAATTGACAAAAATCATCCTTGTATGCAGTGGAGGCTGGGAGGGGTGGTCGAGTTACATCCAGGGGACGACGGCGTGGTCAGAGTGGTCACGATTAAAACCATACACGGAACATCTAAAAGAAATGCGACTTCTCTCTGTCCGTTACCTACGGACGCCTAAGACTTTAATTTCATTTATTATGTAATCAAGAAGATGTAATTTTTATTTGCTTTCAACGATTTAAATCATTTAATGTTTACACGACCATGCGAAACAATAAGCAATTGCCTTACTAAGCAGTCGGCTTGTTGTTTGAAATTTATGCGACAACTGTAACAAGCGTTATTGTTAAGAATCGAACGTTCGCTGCATGCACAGACGCACACCTAGAATTTGTTTTGCTCGTTGCACTCCCAACGAGGGGAGGATGTTTGGTGAATGGCGAATATATTTATGCGAAATATTCACGAGTCTAATGATTAAGTTTAATTTGATTTTTCCCGTTTGAGACAATGAATATTCGTTATTCTTAATATTTAGTTTATTTGAGTTTCGTTCTGTACTAATATACGACGGTCGGTAATTAATGAGCGCATAGATAAAAAGCTCTCTTGGCCGCTAGTACGACAGCGCCAATCAAAAATTATCGCGCCACAGCGCAACGGTGTGTGTCTTGTGCGTGCAGAATTCATTCGAGAAGTAGCGTCCAACGTGTGCACACGTGCGAGTCGTTCTTTCTTTGTGTAGCGATTATTGCGTGATTTGATATTCTGTGTTTTTTGTATACGTTTCTTATATGTCATTGCGTAATCTGATTTGTGCGTTTCTTGTGTTATACGTTAATCACTCGTAATTTTCCAAGAGTGAGTACGTGTATTACAACGGGTCGTACAGGCCGGTCTTCGTGCACGAAAGACCGGCGACATCCTTATATTGTACGATACATTGAATACATTACAATAAAATGGGTTTTTTATGCCGCGCAGGCTTTTTCCCATTAAAGGTGTAGTTTTATTTCTTTACAAATTCTAAATACTAAATCACGAAAACGAAAAAACAAAGGATCGGTGGGACTCTTGAACCGCAAGAGTTTCTACCATACAGGCTTTCCAAATTTCAGAATGAGTACATCAATTAATTTTTTCAAACACATACGAATCGTTTGCCTTTCTCATTGGATATAAATTCACGTATTTTATAAAAGCATCTAACATAACAATTATATTGCATTCCTCTTCTGGCTATCGGATAAAAATCGACAGTAACTAGATTGTTTAGTCCGCTTGATTCGATAAAGTTATGTTCTCCTTCCATCGGAACTGTTAAATATTTTACTCGTTGACATATGTCACAACATAAGCTAAATTTTTTTACATGTGTGGACATAGTGGCGCTTAAAAAAATAGAGCCACTTCTAGCGGAGACAAAATAAATCATAGTTATTAGTTAATCTTAATTACGCACGAGGCGCAGCAATTTGTTACCGACGAGTGTAAAGAAACATTGATGCTAGGTTGTTGTCGTGGAATAGTGTTGTTTAGTGTGAAACGGTTGAACATAACTTAAAGGTTAGTAATTGGGTCAAAATATCAGAGCCACATTTAATAAGTTTACCTATTTATTAAGTTTAACTTGTTTAACTGAATTAACATATTTTTTTATTTGGATGCTCTAATACTTTGTAGGGAACTCTTTGTTTTTCAAAACAGTTCGGTATCTGCCCATAGAGCCTACTAAGGATCTACACTCTTCTTCAGAAATTGAGTACCAAGCTTTTTGAATTTCCTCCCAGAGTTTACCAAGATTTGTAGTTTTCCAACGATTAATTCTTTTGTCAATTGTATCTCATAGGTTTTCTATTGGATAAGTCCGGACTCTGTGATGGCCATTCCAAAATGGGAATTTTTTCTTTCTCAATAAATCTTTTTATAACTTTAGCGGTATGTTTTGGATTGTTGTGCATTTTCCATAACAAGGGCATCTCACTTCTGGCATACGGTAACATAACATCTTTAGGAATGCATTTGTACATTTCTGCATTTATAATACTATTGATTCGAAATAATGGGCCAACGCCATACCAGGAGAAATATAACTGCCCAGACAATAACTGCCGCCACCATGCTTCACAGTTTTTAAAGTGTACTTGGGATTATTTTCTTGATTCGGTGGCCGCATATACACTTTTGCATCCGAAGAAAACATTAAACTTTGATTCGTCGAACCACAGCATATTACGCTATCATCGTCTTTTTCTCTGTGGCTTTCAGAAAAAGTTAATTATTTTGCAATATTTTGTTTAGATACATGTGGTTTTTTCTTAGCAATGCGACCTGTATGGGAAGATTAACCAATTAAAAAAATTATCTGAAATTAATTTATTATTGACGATAAAGAAAAGAGATTATGGTTTACAAAAGATTGGACATTAATTTATTCTATCATATTAAACCTTTATAATATTTAACAACACAATTAAGATTAAAAAAAACCATATATTAAAGATATAATAATTTCTGAATAATAATGTTTATATGGCAAATATTTAAATATGTTTATACATTTAAATTTAACGTATAAGACGGGCAACAAGAGCCAAATCGCGGATGACAATGCGTTATCGTAACGAAACTAAATAATTTTTCGTTAGAATTAAATACCGGTGCACAAGGCACCAAATTTTTACTTGGACACGGCCAAGATTTTAAATATGAAAATAATCTCATATTTTGAGATTTAATTTCAATACCCCTTTAACCCCCCTACGGAAAATAAATAAATGAATGCAAGAGAAAAATATAGATCCGAAAATCGCTGAATCGGGAATCGAACCCGAGACCTTTCGCTTGCCCGGGCGACTGCTCTTCCAGCTGAGCTATTCAGATCCTTTCGATTCTATACTTTTCTCTGTTATATATATTAATGTTGGTTTGTTTACCAACATTAATATATATAACAGAGAAAAGTATAGAATCGAAAGGATCTGAATAGCTCAGCTGGAAGAGCAGTCGCCCGGCAAGCGAAAGGTCTCGGGTTCGATTCCCGATTCAGCGATTTTCGGATCTATATTTTTCTCTTGCATTCATTTATTTATTTTCCGTAGGGGGGTTAAAGGGGTATTGAAATTAAATCTCAAAATATGAGATTATTTTCATATTTAAAATCTTGGCCGTGTCCAAGTAAAAATTTGGTGCCTTGTGCACCGGTATTTAATTCTAACGAAAAATTATTTAGTTTTGTTAGGATAACGCATTGTCATCCGCGATTTGGCTCTTGTTGCCCGTCTTATACGTTAAATTTATATTTATATTACAGAGCCTTGTTAAAACTCTTATGTTTATACATTACTAAGTATTAAAGGCTTTAATTATTATCTATACAAAATTAAAGTAGGAAAATTCTATATTGAAAATTGTACATAACGTAATATCTTTGAAGATGTTTAGAATATAATCAGAAAACTTTAAATCATTTGGGAATAATTCAGATAATAATATTGAAATATATCAAACATTTAACATTAAGAATAATCAAATAATATTATATAACATTATGAATAATCATATAATATGTCATAATACATCATCATAAATGTATATGCTCTAAATAATAATAAGAAGAATGATATAAGATTTATAAACATTGAAAATCATGAAAATGAAAGAAAGACAATATATATAAACTAATTATACAAAAAATAATATGAATGCAGAGAAATATTGGAATTTACTAATATAAAAAATATCATGGAAATTTTAGGAAAATTAATAATAAGATGACTTCAAAATGTTTAAACCACTAGAAAGATTAACTCTGCAATACAGAATTTACATGAATAGGCCAGTATAAGAAAGATTTGAATCAATCAATGATATAAAATTCATATAAAAAGACCAGTATAAGAATTTGATTTGAAGAAGACGAAGTTCTCTCGTCTTACCTTCGTTCTGTTGAAAATAATTAATTAGCGGTGGCACTAAATGTATATCGCCTCTTGTTGGGCACTGATAAAAATGGCAGATATGGCAATGAACTGCGGACCACGTATAATTACTCTCTGGGTATCGAAGCTGTTCAATTTTCGTAGCTGCTCTTTTAAATTCGTAGCTGCCCTGAATACGTAGCTGCTTTGAATACGTAGCTGCCCTGAATTTGTAGCTGTCCTGAATACGTAGCTGCCCTGATCGTATGGCAATGGCAAGAAAATTCTCAGATGTATTATCTGAAAAAAAGTAGCTGCCCTCGTTTGTACACAAAACTCTGAATTGGCAAAGGAAGGAAAAGCACGTCTGTTCACACGCGAAAGCGAAAGACAGGGAAGGAAGCCGTAAACATAAAGAAAAGTGTTGTCATAAACGTATGTCCGCGGGCTATAGATAATTTCAGCGCTTAATTCATTCTATGTTCGAAGGGTCGATCACTTCCGCAACACGACCATTGAGTTTTGTATAACACAATCTTCTTTTTATAGTTGATGTTGATAATTTCATATCATATTGACTAGATACCATCTCTCTCAAGCGTGGCACACTCAAGAAAAGTTCCTTTTTAACTTTTAAGGGGATACCGGAGGTCTACTTTTACCGACCGAACCGATTATATTTTGCCACTATCGAGAAGTTTTTATTGCGTTAATAGAATAACAAATGCTTTTCCACGATTAAAGTTAATACTATGATATCCATGAAATATGTCAAAATATAAATAATCGAATACGAGGACGAAACGACAAGGCGCATTCGGCAATAACGTGATAGCGCGACACGTATAATACATCTTGAAAATAATAATCGCACGCTTACATAGTGGATAATTCTTTTTAATAAATAAATGATTTATATGATTTATTCTTATCTAACTACTGCTCTGTTTTGATAATAATAATATTATTATATTCAATCTCTAAAATACTTTTATATAAATCATTTATTTATTACAAAGGATTATTTACTTTATAATCAATTATAATTATTATAGGTAGGCCTGTTATAGACATACACACTCACGCACACACACACTCACATATAACTTGTTAGCTAGACTGTGAACAAAAAAATTTTTGTCACATCACATATGTATTATATATATATATATATATGTTTGTCCCGGGCCAGTTTCCGGGACTTTTGACATCCCGTATTGGCAGATTCCGGGACATTTGGCATTTTCCAGGACTGACCTGGAAAAATTTAGGTCCCACGGCAGTTTCCAGGACGCCCTGGAAACTGCCATTTAGATGAAATGGCAGATTCCAGGTCTGTACATTTAGATGTATATACATTAATGTACAGACCTGGAAACTGCCATACACTTAAATGTATATATGTACATTTCGATGTATGACAGTTTCCAGGTCTGTACATTTAATCTAGAACTATATGGCAGTTTCCAGGTCTGTACATTTAAATGTATATACATCTAAATGTACAGACCTGGAAACTGCCATATATTTAAATGTATACATGTACGTTTCGGTGTATGGCAGTTTCCAGGTCTGTACATTTAATTTAGAACTATATGGCAGTTTCCAGGTCTGTACATTTAAATGTATATACATCTAAATGTACAGACCTGGAATCTGCCATTGTATCTAAATGGCAGGTTCCAGAACGTCCTGGAAACTGCCGTAGGACATAAATCTTTTTCAAGATATACCTATACAAAGAAAATAATAAATTTTTTATAATATATAATTATTGCATATACAAATATATACATTTCATAAATATACATGATTTCTAAACGCAAAGATATAATTACTTGATATATTTTTATAACTTCAAATTTTAGGCTTACTAAAAGCAATTTTAAAAAAGCAATATTGCAAATGTTAGTAAGAAATGATGAAAAAAAATTAAAATTGTTGTTATTGTCGTTATATTCAAACAACCAGATTGTAATAAAAAATAATAAGAATTTAATAAAATGAAGATTATTGATTTTATTGCAATACCGAGAAAAGAGAGAAACATATTTCTTCATTATAGCAATAATAAAATCATTAGTTAACATCAGTTATTATAAGATTATTATAATAAAATATGATATTTCAAATTTATTGATATAGAAATAAGATTTCTACATATACAAAGAGACACTATCTTAAGAAAACTTACACTGATCCCGAAATATTCACGAATGCAAACAACTTTGCAAACCTTGAAACGTAATACATAGTTAATAACAGAATTATATGAAAAAATAAACACAAAAGTTTAGACATGTCAGAAGATTTCTCCAAATGTTAATGAAAACTTATTAAAACGCAAATCAAAATTATTTACATTATGGTTATATTCACCAAGCTCAAGTTTAAATAAAAATTAACAAAAATAAATCAGTACTTAACTAATTATAATGAAAATATTTTTCGCGGAATAATTTATTACTTCAGAATTTGAATTAAGATTTATAGAAATAATACAAATTTAAGATACAATATTTTCAAACAATTTTAACGGTCCTGGAAAATGCCGTATTTTCAATAATGCAAATAATTTTCCAGAACTTAAAACACAAGTCATTCTAATAGTAAGATTATATAAAAGAACGTCGACAAATTAGAAGAACTCACCAGAAGCCTTCTCAAAATAATATTACTTCAAGTGTAAATGCAAATAATGTGTGCAAATTTACAAATTATCAAAACTAGTGATATTATTCTTATATATAAACATTCAATTTATACCGTATTAAATTAAAAAAATCAGCTTTCAGTAGTTAATCAAAATGTAAATATGATCTTTCGAAGTAGTATTTATTATAATTTCGAATTAAGACTTATAAAAGAATAAAAAGAGACAATATTTAAAAAAAGCTTTACTAATCCCGGAACATGCTGTGTATGTTCAAAAATGCAAATGTCTGAATAATTTAGAACTTATTATGTTGCTCTAATAGCAGAATTATAAAAAACTTCTCGATAACTGTAGACTTATCAGAAATCTTCTTAAAATAAAACTACTTCAAGTTTCAATGTAAATGTGTATGTGAAAATCTAAACCAAAATTTACTGTCGATATTATTCCATCCGAAAATTTAATTTGCATGGTATTAATACAAAAATCAACTGTCAACACATAATTACATGTAAATATGGTCTTTTGAAGTAGAATTTAATACTTGAAAGTTAAAATTTTAATTGAAATAATCCAAAGAAACATTATATTTAAAAAATTTAATCGGTCCCGGAACATGCCGTACGTTCAATAATGCAAATAATTTTTAAATCTAAATACATAATACTCATTCTAATAGCAGAATTATTTGAAATAAGATCCTTGATAAATGTAGACTTACCAGTAACTTTCTTAAAATAAAACTACTTTAAGTTTCAATGCAAAGTGTATGTGAAACCTAAAACAAAGTTTATTGAGAGTACTATTATATCCAAAGATTTAATTCACATGGTTTTAATAAAAAAAGTCAGCTCTCAATAAATAATTATATGTAAATATGATCTTTTAAAGTAGAAATTAATAACTGAAAATTAAAATTTATAATGAAAATTATTTCATTTTGTATTAACAAAGAGGACAATTTAAGAAAGTTTTGTCGGTCCCGAAACATGCCGTATGTTTAAAAATGCAAATATCTTTTCAGAATTTAAAACTTATTATGTCACTCTAAAAGCAGGACTATATAAAACAAAATTCTCGATAATTGTATACTTAAAAAAGTCTTCTTAAAAATAAACCTACTTCTTAAGTTTCAATGCAAGTGTAAATGTGAAAACCTAAACCAAAATTACTGATTTTATTGTTATATACAAAGACATAATTTACATACCTTTAATCCAAATATCAGATCGCAACATGTAATTATAATGTGAATATGATCTTTTAAAGTAGCAATTAAAACTGCAAATAAAAATTTATAATGAAATACTACAAAGACGCGATAATTAAAAAAAAATGTTATCGGTCCCGAAACATGCCGTATGTTTAAAAATGCAAATACTTCTGAATTTAAAACGTCCCCACACAGCGAAAATTATATGACATAAATTCCTCAACAACTTTAAACTTACCAGAAGCTCTTCTTAAAATAGAATTATTTCGACCATTAATGCATTGATGTGTGTGGACATCCAAACAAAAATTAATGCATTATACCCGAATATTCAATTTAAATTGTTTTAATCTACAAATCCATTTTCAACACTTAATTATAATGTAAATATGATATTTTAAAGTAAAATATAACTAGAAATTAAATTTTAATGGAAATAATACGAAAAAGCAATACCTTACATAAATTTATGCTGTCCCAGAAAATGCCATATACTCAAAAATGCAAATAGCTTTACAGAATTTAAAACTTATTATGTCGCTCTAATAGCAGGATTATATGAGACAAAATTCTCGTGAAATGTAGACTTACCAGAAGCCTTCTAAAAAATAAATCTACTTCAAGATTCAATGAAAATGTGTGTGTGAAAAAACTTAAACCAAAATGAATGACTTTACTATTATATCCAAAGAGATTTACTTAACTTTAAAATCCAAATATCAGCTCTCAACACGTAATTATAACGTAAATACGATTTTTTGAAATAATTTTATAACAAGATATTAGACTTTATATAGAAATAATACAGATCGACATTACTTTAATACATTTTTTTATTGGTCCCGGAATTTGCCAAATATTAAAAATGCAAATATCTTTCCAGAATTTAAATCTTATTATGTCGCTCTAATAGCAGGATTATATAAAGCCAAAGTTTCTTACAACTTGCGACTTACCAGAAGCCTTCTTAAAATAAACCTACTTCTCTCTCGCAGTAGTCTCAACGCAAATGTGGGTGTGAAAACCTAAACCAAAATTATTGACTTTATTCTTATATACGGAGATACAATTAACATATTTTTAATCCAAATATTAGAACCTAACACATAATTATAATGTGAATATGATCTTTCGAAGTAGAAATTAATAACGGAAAATTAAAATTTATAATAAAATAATACAAGGAAGCAATAATTTAAGAAAATGACATCCCAAAACATGCCGTCTCTTCAAAATAGCAAATAATTTTCTGAATTTAAAACGTCCCCCTTATAGTGATATTATATGACAAAGAATCCTCGATAACTATAAACTTACCAAAAGCCCTTTTTAAAATAGAATTATTATTTCAACCATTAATGCATTGATGTGTGTGGACATTCAAACCAAAATTAATGCATTATAGCTGAAGATACAATTTAAATCGTTTTAATCTAAAAATCCATTCTCAATTAGCACTTAATTATAATGTGAATATAATACTTTGAAGTAGAATGTAATACTAAAAATTAAAATTTATGTAGAAATAATACAAAAAGCATTATACCTTATAAAAAGTTTAGCGGTCCCGGAAAATGCCGTATGCTCAAAAATGCAAATATCTTTCCAGAATTTAAAACTTATTATGTTTCTCTAATAGCAGAATTATATGAAACAAAATTCTTGATAACTTTAAACTTGTTAGAAGCCTTCTTAAAAATAACTTCAAGATTCTATGCAAATACGTATGTGAAAATCTAAACCAAAATTTCTTGACGTTACTATTATATATCCGAAGATTCAATTCACATATCGTTTTAATTCAAAAGTAAGCTCTCAGCATAAATTATATATAAATATAGTTTTTTGAAGTAGAATTTAATAACTCAAAGTTAAAATTTATATTTAAATAATACAAAGAAACATTACTTTTAAAAATTTTATCGGTTCCGGAACATGCCGTACGTTCAATAATGCAAATAATTTTTCTATAACCTAAAAACATAATACTCGCTCTAATAGCAGAATTATTTGAAACAAATTTCTCGATAACTTTAGACCTACCAGTAGCGTCCTTAAAATAAAACTGCTTCAAGTTTCAATGCAAATGTGTATTTGAAAACCTAAACCAAAATTTATTGACGTTACTATTATATCCGAAGATTCATTCACATGGTTTTAATTCAAAAGCTAGCTTTCAATATATAATTATATGTATTAATATGATCTTTTCACGTAGAATTTAATAACTAAAAATTAAAATTTATATTTGACACAACAAGAAGGATTGGATAACTACATCATACAGGAATACTGCACATCGTGTATTTCACAAGACAAACTTTTATATCAATATGGCGATGGCGAGAGAGAACATTAATTATAAATTAATATAGATGGTCGATCGGGACGACCAAAAGATTATAAATAGCGACACCACAGTTCGCGTTGATTGGCTAGCTTAGCAATATTGTTATAGATGTGATCGTTAATGCTCTAACAATATTGCAATAATACAAAATAAATTATTTAAAAAATAGTTTATCGGTCCGGAACATGCTGTATGTACACTAATCGTATGCAAATAGCTTTAAAACTTTACAACATTATATCTCGTTTGAATAGCAACTTATATAAAAAATCTGTATAATAATCTTAAACTTTATCAAAAGTATATCTAAAAACTACTTTAATAAAAATGATA